GCTCTTTTTGGAGGTATCAAATGTGAAACGGGGGGAATGTTGTCCCTAAAAACCCAAGAAAAACAAGCCCTCTTTAAGGAGCTCTCCTTTTATTTGCTTCTGGTGCCTTCGAACTCAGAAGCAGGTCAGATGAACTCTGGTAAATGTAACGGTAAAGAACATTGTGTCCCCAATTCCTTGGCCTGTTACTGAACTCGGTACCTGGCATAAGCAGAAAAGCATCCTGTTCATTTGAAATGATTTAACATTTACTGGTTTCCCTGTGTTTCTGTGAAAGAGTTTCTTATGGTGATCCCTTGTGGATAGTTACAACCTGCTTAAAATGCAGACTCTGTAAAAACCAGGAAAAGAAAACACCCTTTATGATCAAAAAATAGGTTGTACAATAAAACCCACCCCACCTTGTTGGTTTTACATTGAATGGATCAAAATGACTTGTCCAAAATGAAGTTTCTGCGCTGTCTTGTAGAAAGAGGTAGGGGGGAAATGGTACAGCTCAATAAAACTATGATTACTTGGGTCTGTTTTCATAGTGGGACATAATAGGATACTTAAAAGGGGCTGGAGAAACTCTTAAGTGCTTCGTGGATGGTTGTTCTAATCTTATTCATATTGAAAAGCTGTTAATTAAAAATGGAAGCAAAGGAGAAGCTCTGTCAAAGTAAGCAAATACTGCTTCAAACATGTATAGTTCTTAAACAGGGGGGAGAAAAAATCATGACTCCTTTAGCTTAGTAGATGGGCAGACACTTCAGATGCCCTCAAAAGCCCAGCTATCAGACATGATACTTCTATGATATCAGACATGATGTTTCGATGTTTCTATGATATCAGACATGATGTCTCTATGATGTCTGGCCTGTGAATGATCCATGTTTAGGAGCTGTGCACACTGCAATAGTTACATCAATTGCTTTAGGCAGGGTGAATTCAACCCAAGTAAATTCTGGTGGTTTCTGGAGCCCTGTTGATAACTGCCCCTTTAGTGATGAAAAAGAAAATTCCTGCTTTTTCATTGCTTAGGTCCCTGCCTCTGAGTCCACGTTGTGTTCTGTTCACATTGAGGTAATGGGAAAGGCAGACTTTTTCCCAGGAATCCAAAATAAACATTTATCTTGGTGCCTTATGAAAAACACGGAGGGAAGGAAGCGTGTTGGGCCTGCAGAAGTGATAGACTCTTTTATATAGGGATAATTTATTGATTCTTGGGCTTTTGTGAAAGGAGAGTGCAGTGAGGTGTATGGCCTCATTAACTAGGCTGGAACAATTCTGATGCTGGCCTTTTTTTTTCCTTAAGACTGAATATATCCTGTTACATGTTTGTACAAAAGGAGCAAAGGTGGCATTCAGGACTCCTACCACCCACGTTGCCTGTTGTAATAAACCATCTGCCATTAAGTCTTATAAGAGTGTCCCACGTAGATGTTAACCCATCACTGGAAGTGTGAAACTGAAAGCACACAGAATGCCCCCCGCCTCCCCACTTAGGTACTTGTAATCATCAGTAGCTGGCAATGCTTTAGTGCTTCATGGGGATCATTCTCTCTCCTGAGCTCAGCTTTCTGTATCTTGGCATCCTGGTGTAGTGCAAGTGTTAGTGAAGTGAAAGGAAGAATTGATGGCGAGGGACAACCACCATCCATTTGAGCTGCTGCATCCTCCAGGTACAAGGCAATTTGTCTTGGGAGCTTGAGGTTGAAGTACTTCTCCTTTAGAGAGATACACTAAAAGCCTCTTGCATGTTCTTACTTTGAGATCATATCGTATGTGTTTGAAAGACACAGGGGGTTTTAACAAGACTATTCTTCCTTGGGCAATATGATGTCTAGTGTGAGGTGTCCCTGCCCATGGCAGGGGGTTGGAACTGGAGGAGCTTAAGGTCCTTTCCAACCCAAACCACTCTGTGATGATGGTTCTATGACTCTGTTGTTGTGCCTGTTTAAGTCTGAATAGTATTTGGCTTTGGACAAGGGCCTGTAGGGACAGGACAAGGGGAATGGCTTGAGCCTGCCAGAGGGGAGATTGAGATGAGCTCTGGGGCAGAAGCTCTTCCCTGTGAGGGTGCTGAGGCGCTGGCACAGGGTGCCCAGAGAAGCTGTGGCTGCCCCATCCCTGGCAGTGTTCAAGGGCAGGTTGGACACAGGGGCTTGGAGCAACCTGCTCTAGTGGGAGGTGTCCCTGCCCGTGGCAGGGGGTTGGAACTGGAGGAGCTTTAAGATCCCTTCAACCCAAACCGCTCTGGGATTCTATGGATCTGTTCATACAGCTTTACTAACTGCAGCAAGGTGGTGGGATGAAAGAGTATTTCCAGAGAGAAACTGTGAGGTGTGTGCTGAGACCCAGTAAATGGCTGGTGTGCAGGACCCTGTCCTGTGATGTGTGCCTTCAAGGGCACTAGGGCAAAACCCCTCTTCTCTGCAAGATCAACAGGGAGACAGTGCTGATGGGAACACCATTTGCCATCATGATCAGAGGCTGGCCAAGGAGGAGACCTGGGGAGAAGCAGCTGGGCTCAGAACAGGGGTGCTCACCAGTTCTCGAGGGATGAAATGGGTCCTGAAGCAGCACTTTCATCTTTGCCTTGTAAAGGACAGTAAACACATGGACGACTCCAGAAAGTATCTAAATACCATGTTTTATGTCATGTTGTATAATGAAACACCTGCTTCTGTGACAGAGGTATGGGCCGAGTGAGAAGGAATTAAGAGGAGTGTTATTTTTAACAGTTTAGCCACATTCAGGAATTCACTTAGGAAGTGAAGGTCACAAGTTCAGCAGCATTTGTCACTTCAGCCTGGTTCCTAATTAAACAACTTCTAACATTATAAAGTTGCAGCATACTCACAAGTGCCACAGTTTTCATGCACCGTGTGTGTGGTAAAACACATGCATCAGACGGGAGTAAGTCTCAGCCTTCCAATCTTCAGAAGTATTTTCATATATATACATATATATATATATATGAGTTCATCAGTGAGCCAATGGCTGCTGAAATGTGTTTGGCAATGGTCCCTGTTGCCTCCAAACACAGCTGAACAAACAGCCCACAGCTCACACAGGGAGACAGGCCAATTGGGTAGGAGGGCAGGAGGGGACAGCGTGGTGGATTCCGTGTCCCAGCACGAGGAGAAGCACACTGCCACCTCTGTGTTTATATAGCCACTAGGAACTGGGCTCAGGAACTGGTTGATCCTGTGGTTGGGGGGGTAGAGAAAGACCTTTTCCAGCATATATTAAATGACTGAAATGTCTTTAAATAAACTTAAAGCTTTGTGTGTCTTAAACCACCCCCCCACCCACCCCGGTTTGGGAATTTGACCTGTAGGGTTTTTGGGAAGAAAGGAAAATGAGGTTGTTTTTCCTTGATGGGGGGGAAAACCCCAGCAGTCTGTTCTTTAAAGGCATTGTTGCTTTCAGGGAAGGCTTTCCTGGAATCAGCTTATTACAGTGTGGTAGTAACGTGGCATCACTTTGCTCTTTTTATGGCATCCTTTTGCTCGCTGTGACTTTGCCACTTTAGGAGACTCTTTCTCTGTTACTACGTGTATTTAAGGTCTATTAAACTGGAGGCTTCAGGAGATTGACCACAGAGACTCTGCTGGCTGCACATGAGGGGAGCGTGCACAAGACCAGATTATTTTTGAGTAGTGGAGTTTATTGAGACCACATCTGCAACCTGCATGATTTTACAACCACTGTTAACAGAAGTACAAGGCATGGAATAACCACCATCTATTTTAGCTGTGCAGCACGAAGTGCTGTTCTTAGGACCAGCATTAGGAGCTGGAAATCTAGATGCATACAGTTGAGGGAGGGAGAGAAGCATCTTGAAGGGACTGATTTAGAGAACTAGAAGGAGGTTGTAGCCTTCAGCATCAGCTGTAGCTCCCAAGTAGCAGCAGAACACTGTGGCAACCAGGTCCAATGAACATTGATGGTGCAGTAGCCTAAACCATGATCTGGAGTGATGTGGAGACAGGTTGCACAGAGCCTTGGGTGACATGGTCTAGTGTGAGGAGTCCCTGTCCGTGGCAGGGGGTTGGAACTGGATGATCTTAAGGTCCTTTCCAACCCAAACCAGGCTGGGAATCTATGACAGTCCAGCCTTGCCCCATAGACTGCACAGGGGAAGGGTTGGTGTATGTGTGATTTACACAGCAAATGGCAGCCAGTGGCAGCAGTAGATTGATAACAAAAGGGTTGTTGAGTATTACATGTCTGTTGAGAGCTTCTGGTTAATGATGCCACATTAAAGCAAATAATTTCTCTTTTAATATATGGAAGTAAGTTAAAGTAAACCATAACAGCTGGGCTTCTTCAGCCTGGGAAAGAGAAGGCTCCTTAAGGAGACCTTAGAGCAGCTCCAGTGCCTAAAGGGGCTCCAGGAAACCTGGAGAGGGGCTTGGGACAAGGGATGTAGGGACGGGACAAGGGGAATGGCTTGAACCTGCCAGAAGGGAGCTTGAGATGAGCTCTTGGGCAGAAGCTCTTCCCTGTGAGGGTGCTGAGGCGCTGGCACAGGGTGCCCAGAGAAGCTGTGGCTGCCCCATCCCTGGCAGTGTTCAAGGCCAGGTTGGACACAGGGGCTTGGAGCAACCTGCTCTGGTGGAAGGTGTCCCTGCCCGTGGCAGGGGTTGGAGCTGGAGGAGCTTTAAGGTCCCTTCCAACACAAACCAGGCTGGGATTCTGTGATAAACAATGGCTGAATGCAAAGAAGGTTTCCCCTCCTACACCCACTGCCTTGGGAAAGATCATGTTGAGAATGAGAACATCAGTGAGATCATTGAATGGGATCAAATACTAATTTTACTTCTATGTGCTTGTGGTCTGAAAAGCAATTTTCCTGTTGCTGATGCTCTTGCACAGTTCTGTAGCAGTGCTCTGCAGTGCTGACTTGGATATTTCATGCCTTCTGCTCCTCTGTTTCTAGACTATTGCTTTGTTTCTTCTTAGTTGTCTTTAGTTTCAATGCTTTCCTCCTTCTTCATCCTTTCTTTTAGGAGAAGCCCTTTGTATCAGAAGCAGCCAGGAAGAGAGAGAGAGACTTGGTAGCCAAAGAAATTGAGAAGTTTCAGGTGTCTATTCAGACTCTGTGCCGGAGTGCCCTGACGCTTGGCAGGATCATGGATTACATCCAAGAAGACATGGATGCCATGAAGAATGAGTTGCAGATGTGGCGGCAGGAGAACAGACAGCATGCAGAAACTCTGCAGAAAGAGCAGAGGTGAGTGTGGGCAGGGAAAGGTTCATTTATCTCTTGAGACAGATTTCTGGGTTTGGGGGGAGGGTTTAACTCATTTTTCAGAGCAAACTTATCAGTCATTTCTCTGGTTTGGACTTGAAATGTTCAAGTCTTTTCAGCTCAGTTTCTCATGATGCAAACGTGTGTGACAGGAGAGGACTTGATTTGTTTGCTGCTCCCCACAAGTAAAGGAGCAATGGAGGAAGAGCTAAGTAGATGTGGAATAGGACTAGGAGTGGATTCCTAGATCACAACCTGCTCTCTCTGTGCCATTGGATTCAGTGTGTTCTGCAGTGATGTTAGTAACAGTTGTTGGCTGTGCAAGGCTAAAAGACCAGCGCTGGAAAGCCAGGAGAGTGAAGGTGATGTGCATGATAGAAACAAGGAGGTCAAGCCTCAAAACAGTTTCTTTGGCTTTACCTGTCTTACTTGTCTTTATGCTCCTTGAAACCAGAATGTTCTTTCCAGCTGTGTGTCCTCTGATCTTGACCATGAACTAAGTAGTGATTCACAAGCAGCCTAGATTTGCTGTTACCTAGATGAGTGTGCTTTGGAATGGGTGGCATTCTTAGCTGCTAAGTCCTATCTTGGTAGGTAGCAATGTGTTAAGTGTTGGAATTTACAGCAGCTGGCTTAGTCCACTGCCTGGGGTGGGAACTAAGGCTTTCCTTTACATATAAAGTGTAATGATGTTAATTCCTTGCACTTACACAGCACCTTCTATCCCAAACCTTTGACAGGCTTTAAAACTCTGGTTGGCCTCAGAATGCAGCACTGCTGCGAAGAGGAAGGAAACAGTGTTTGGCTTTATTTTTGGGTTGGAGAAACTGAGGCATTGACTCACTCGCCTTTGCACTGCACCTCGTGACGTGTCCTATGGATCCTTATCACATCAGTGCAGTGCTAAGGCATGTCCAGTCCTTCAGTAAAGAATGACAGAGTGTGAGACATGAAGAAGACAATGCTTTCCACGTATACTGCGATTTGGATGCTTGTCTTTTTCTTTGCTCCTGTGAAAGACAATTGACAGATCCCGTTGGAGAACAGTGTGATTTCTAACAGTGCTTTATGCTGCTATGGTGGAAAAAAGGGGAAAGCTAAATGAATTTGGGATGTGGACTTTACCTGGAGCTCAAGTGACTGGGTAGTTCAGAGTGACAGCAGGCCAGGTTGCTCTGTCATTTTTCTGCCTGTTCAGCATTCTTGAAGACCAGCAAAACATTATAGAAGTGGGCCCATTAGTTGTAAAGCCAAACAGCCCCATTCGCTTAAGATGTATCAATGTCCTTGTTTATTAGCATAGGATTTATTACGTTTCCTGTTAGTGTGGAATTACCTGCTCTTGTCAGCAGCTACTGATGGGTCGGTTTTCATATAGAATCACAGAATCAGAGACTGGTTTGGGTTGAAGGGACCTGAAAGCTCCTCTGGTCCCCCCCCCCTGCCACGGGCAGGGACACCTTCCACCAGAGCAGGTTGCTCCAAGCCCCTGTGTCCAACCTGGCCTTGAACACTGCCAGGGATGGGGCAGCCACAGCTTCTCTGGGCACCCTGTGCCAGCGCCTCAGCACCCTCCCAGGGAAGAGCTTCTGCCCAAGAGCTCATCTCAATCTCCCTTCTGGCAGGTTCAAGCCATTCCCCTTGTCCCGTCACTACATCCCTTGTCCAAAGCCCCTCTTCAGGTTTCCTGGAGCCCCTTTAGGCACTGGAGCTGCTCTAAGGTGTCTCCTTCAGGAGCCTTCTCTTCTCCAGCTGCCCCAGCCCAGCTCTCTCAGCCTGGCTCCAGAGCAGAGCTGCTCCAGCCCTCGCAGCAGCTCCGGGGCCTCCTCTGGCCTCGCTCCAGCAGCTCCACGTCCCTCTTGTGCTGTTCCCCAGAGCTGAATCAGGGCTGCAGGACTTCAGGAATGACTTTCCTGGAGACATTCTCACCCCAGAGTGTAGTAGAGACCCCTCTTGTCTCTTCTCAGATGTCTACCTGCTGCAGCTTGGTGCCGCTGGCAGCTATTGGAGTCTTGCTGCTGGCTTGTTCATTTGCTGTTGGAAATACCTGGTAGGAGGCCAGCAACCTCCACAGCGGTTTCATTTGTCCCTCTCTGCCACATGCTTCTCCCATTGAAGCTCTTGTGTGAGGCCCAGAGGGATGGATGTTACCATGTGTATCATGTAAAACCTGTGTGTCCTTAAAATCATGGAATGGTCTGGCTTGGGTTGGAAGGGACCTTTAAGGATCATCTAGTCCAACCCCCTTGTGCTTGAAGAAGGGCTTGATGTCTGCCTAGACTGGGGTGAAATAATGACAAAGAGCCTTAGCAGGAGAGCTGCATTAGCCAGGAAAGGGCTGTTTAGTGTTTAGTTGCAGGTGATCTCTCTTGAACAATCTTCTTATTAGCTTTGCCTTTGTGCTTCTTGCTCTAAACTTTCTTTCAGGAAGGGTGGGCACAACTTAACTACTTTGCAGACTTTCAGGTAACCTATGTACTTTCTCGGAGGCTTAAGTAACTTGAGTTAACACGTTTCCACCCACGTTATGCTCTTTGTGTCTCTTTCAGCATCACGGACAGTGCTGTTGAACCATTAAAAGCTGATCTGGCTGAACTGGACCAGTTGATTAAAGACCAGCAAGACAAGATCTGTGCTGTAAGAGCTAATATTATAAAGAACGAAGAGAAAATCCGCAGGATGGTTCTTAGCATAAACCTGTCTTCCAAAAGGTGAAGAACTGGAACTGACTGACATTCCTACCAAATAAAAACAAAATAACACAGAAAACAAAGATATTCCTTGTTGACATATAAAATGTTTAGGGACCCAAAGCCTAAAAATGGTATAAAAGCCCATTATTGCATTGATCTTTAGATGTTGCTATTATCTGGGACAGAATGATATTCATTTGAATGCTCAAGTTGCAGAGCTATTAAAATAACTTGTTTGTTTAGATGTGAACTGCTGTTACTCACTCACCAGGTCCTCACAGCCCTTTTACCCTCCCTGGTCTGTTGAGCACAGTTTCTGAGCCACTTCTCTTTCCATCTCTTTCTTCTCATTGCCACTGAGGTTCCTTTTGAACACACTGTCATGATATTACTTTTGCCCCCTTAAAGAATTCATAGCATCATAGCCTCATAGGATACCAAGTTGGAAGGGACCTCAAGGATCATCTGGTCCAACCTTCTCTTTACTTTGAATGTACATATTTGATAAGAAGTTGGAACCAACCAATCTCCTGCAGGTCAGAAGGTTCCTGAATCCTGTTTGTTATTAAGAGGGAAGATGATCTACAAACCAAAGACCAAGAAGTAAAGCCTCGTGTAACCTGCACTTCTTTGCATCATTACAGAGGTGGCGTCATGTGTTCAGAGCCATTGGGAATCTTACTGGGAACAACTGAAAATGCAATCCATGCATCACTGTGTAAGGGAGCAGAAGTATTTTATCTGCACAGGTGTTAATTCCATTTTTATTGCATCTGTTCGTTTGGAAAGGATTAATTTAAGTACCTCTTTCCTCCCAAATGCATGTTTCTGTAACGTTTTGTATGTGAATAATTCCACTGATTTATTTTAGTTAACTGCAGGTGTCTGTGCTGTTTTCCTAATGACCTTTGGAGTGTAGTGCACATTAGAGTCCAGCTTTACTCCTAAATCTGCAAAGCATATTAGTGTAGACACAACTGTATGATGCTGTGCTGAGCACAGGAGGCTTTAGTCCAACGCAAGGCTCTTCTCAAGGTTTTTAATGTGTGAGTACGTCTCCTCCTCCTCTGTTGTTTGGATTGGGTATGAAATGCTAGTGGCCTTTTTAGGTTTTCCTTATTTGATTGGCATATCTGTGGGGTTTTCTTTTAACTTCTTCATTGCTTTTTCTGGGATCTGGACCTTTGAAGAACCTACCCTAGAGATCATCACCGAAGAGGGTGAGTTATTTGCTGTGTTAAATACAGACATTTTAAAGGACAGGATGCTTTGCTGCATGGGGTTTTGGGGTGGGAGTGGAAATGAAGTATGGGATTTGTGAAGGAATAGGAGACATTTTCTGATCTATTCTTGACAGCACATAGAATCACAGAACCCCAGCCTGGTTTGGGTTGGAAAGGACATTAAAGCTCATCCAGTTCCAACCTCCTGCCACGGGCAGGGACACCTTCCACTAGAGCAGGTTGCTCCAAGCCCCTGTGTCCAGCCAACATGACACGATGTTCTTTGCATTTTAATTGTCACTTGAATTGTATTATTTCACTGTGTGAACTTAAATGGTGAAGCACTCTTCTGGGTAGCTTCCAGGGATGCAGGACTCCTGCGAGCCAGCCCTGCGTTGTCACTCTCTCCTACCATGCAGTGCTTTGCACCAAAGGTTGGAGCCTGTCCACTCCATCCATGAAGGAAAAGGGGTTCAGGATGACCACCAGAATCCCCAGAGCCCAGAACTGATGGTGAAAGCCTGTGTGGTGAATATATAACTTCAGAGCAGTCCGAACACTCTCTTCTTTCACCTTTTACTTGCATCAAAACCTATGGGGTTTGGTGGCATTGCTCAGCCCCCTGCTTAGATGGTGTTAGACCCTGTGAGCCCCATGTCCCTTGGTGTTAGAAGCCACCCTTTAAAAGCACAGAGAGATTTGTTACCAGTCCCCAGCCTTTGTCACCCATCCCATGCCCCTTCTGCATCCACAGCCAGGAGCAGCATGGTGCTGCTGGAGCACAGGGCTGGCAGGAAAGCAGTCAGAGGAGACCAGTAGCAGGGTGTTTCAGGGATGGTAAGTGACTTCAGCTCTGCCCTGGATTATACAGGATGTAAATGACGACTTTTCCTTTCTCTCAGCTACTCCATTTCATGAAGTTCCTTTCACCAGACCCCCCTCTCCTCGTCTTCTCATTGCTGATGGGTTCTGTGTGATGACATGGCCCATGTATCTGTGCCTGTGTTTGTTAGACATGCCCTGAGTTGGGGTGGAAAGCCTAGGGCTCCGATCAGCCTGGGGCTTGGAGGCACTCATTTGCTTCCTGGGAGACCTTAGGGGTGACTTGCACTTTTATGCACCCAATTTCTTATGCTTTCTGCATCTAATATCACTTTAAACAAAAATCAGGTAGTGTCAGGGTTTAATAGGACATCTGACATCTCCTACAGTCGTAGCTGGTGCTCTATCCAGGATTGCTTTGGTTTCCAGTATGGTGGAACAAAGGTAGTGCCTTGGAGCTTGGGCTTGGTTTCATTTTAAAGGTTAAGGATGCAGCACCAAAAGAACCCCCCCAAAAAACAACTGTGGTTCCTGAAGGGGGAAAGAAAATGGGTAGAGCAAAATGCCTGCACATGTTGTGTCTCACACACGCTGCTTTGCCCATGCCTTGGGCTTGTGTTTCAGCTTGTGGGTGGTTCATTAGCAAGGGCAACGCTGCTGGTGTGGTGGTTTGGGGTTTAGAACCCTTACATTGTCAGGCCTCCTGGTGCTAATGGGACCTGACAGGTCTGGGAAGCAGGACTTGGATTTCACGACGTGCCTGACATTCCTCTCTGTGCAGGTTGGGATGTGGCCGCCGGCCCCTCTGGGTCAGGGCTGGGGGAGAGTTCTCAGCTGAAAAGGCAGAGCTGGTGGCAGGATCCACTTGAGACCCCACTCGCAGCACTAGGTGCAGTTCTGGTGTCCATAAGAAGGACATGGAGCTGCTGGAGCAAGTCCAGAGGAGGCCACGGGGATGCTCAGGGGCTGGAGCAGCTCCTGTATGGAGACAGGCTGAGAACGTTAGGGCTGTTCAGCCTGGAGAAGAGAAGACCTCAGAGCAGTCTTCTGCCTATTGGGTTACTTCCCATGAGTGCCTAGTGGAATGTAAAGGGGAAAATACCAATTGCTTTGAAATGCTTTAGAATTCCAAAGCTCTAGATATGTTTTTGTGTCAGTAGAGAAAACCTGGCACTTGTGAGCCAGGCGGTGCTACGTGATGGAGGGGATGCTGCCCACTGAAAGCTCACGGGAACTGGGCTCTCAGAAACAGGGGTGTTCCAGCACTGGGACCTGTGTATCTTAAGTGGTTGGACCCTTTCTCAGCTGAATGTGCACCCTCCCCTCTCCCCAGAGTCTGGATGCATACGTCAGCCTAGTACATGTGATGGACTCAGGAGCTGCCAACTGCAAAGTGGTCTTCAGGTGGAGATCACACCCCAGGCATGTCCTGCAGTGCCCTGGGTAGCTGCCTGCAGCACCGAGGCCTCTTCCAAAACTCTTCCTGCCATGTTTTGTGTGAAAAAGTACTAAGAAATAACATTTCCGTTTTCCAGGGTGGAATTTAATTAGGAGGAATTAAAAGGTGTAGTTTATAGTTTAATTTAATGTGATGAAACAAGGCTCAGCTCCCTCCCCCTCCTGCCCAAATCCCAACCTGAGATGACGGCCTCCAATTGCAGCTGACAGCCACGGAAGGGAAATGCTTTACCAAGAAGAAAAGGGAGAGAAATTCCTCTCCAGATTTATGACTTGTGAAGCAGAGGTTGCCTGGGTTTAGCCTCATTTTATGTCGTGCTGGGTCCTACAGACTTGACTTTGTTGTGTGCCCAGGAATGGGCCGAAAACTGATGGTTTTGGCTGCTTTTGCACATCACTTGTGTGTTCAGGTGCTATTTTGGGCTATGGAGGCTCTTGGTTGTATGGACGGGGCAAAGTGTGTGTTCAGACCGTGTTGCGCTTGCCCCGGTGAGGTGGGGGTTTTCCAGGCATGGTTTTGGCTACTGACAGAGAGTGGGAACATCAGGCAGAAAGGAATAAGAGGGGTCTGGCCTCCGGGACACTGGCATCAAAGATAGCAAGCATTGAAGTCTTTTAAATTCCTTAATGTAACCTGGATGAGAACAAGTTTGGAAAGCACAGTTATTTATTAACTAGCACTATTGGGACCAGATTTCTATTTCTGTGTACTTCATATCCCAAAGTTCAAAGAGGTGAATGAAAATGATCAGATCATGGTTCAAGTAGAAGGAATTAACTGATGATATGACTTTGACTTTATAATGTTGGTGCCATGGGTTAGTGGTGGCCTTGGGATGATGGTTGGACTCCATAATCTTAAAGGTCTTTTCCAGCCCAGTTGATTCTATGATTTCCCCCCCTGCCATGAACAAACCTGTTGGGTGGCAAGTTCTGGTGCACAAGAGAAACACTCTGCTTGGTGGGCCCTGCTCCAGCCCTTCTCTACCATTAGATAGAGATCATTTAGGCTTTCTAAAGCAGACATCTGCTGTTCAGGGGTAGAACTGAGATGTGGCTTCTTCCTTCAGGACTCTCAGCCTTGTGGTGCAGCTTTCCATCCCCTGCTAGCCCTAAGAGACTTATGGCACTGGGTAACAGCGCAGTTGGGCTGGTTATGCTCAGAAGCAAGAGGTGGGGATGGGAGCCCTGCTGTGAGGTGGCACAGGGAATCCTTCTCCTGTCATGCTGCTTGTGCCTTGTTTCTGCACCAAGAGCTGGGGCCAGGTTGGAGCTTTGCCTCCTCCATTTACTGTGATTTGGGAAGCAATGTGGCAGGATCTAAATGAGTTGGCTGAGAGGAACATGAGGCCAGACCAAGTGCCCCAGTGATCCTAGAGAGCCTCTAACCCTGCTGGAGTAGCTACACTTGGTGGAAAATGTGCACCAGAGGCACCCAGGACACATGGGAAGAAGGTGCCTGGGCATTGCCTGGTCTGGGACTTCACCCAAAGTGCAGCACTAGGAAAGGGACATGCAG